CGAAGCCACAAGACTCATAATATCCAACTGCCCACCAGAGATGCCCGACGACGCCCTACAAAAACTGCTTGAACCCTACGGAAAAATAGTTTCCACTCCGACAAGACAAAGTGTCACCACCAACCATGACGACCTAAAGCATGTGATGACTTGGAAGAGGTCCCTCTACATGAACATCCCAACCGACGCCCCTCCGTGCCCAGAAGTGTTACAACTCACAAACGCCGAGGGAGCAAAACACACAGTATACATTGAAATCATTCAATGTAAGTTCTGCCAAAGCCCAAGTCACACCATCGGACAGTGTGTGAAGAAAGAAAAACAAAACAAAGACTACCCAGCTCTAGCCTACACACCATCGCCATCAGTCCGCCTCTCCGTCCCAAAAGTAAGACGACAGTCGAAACCAACAGCCTCTCCTGACAACCCCAGCCAAGAAGAAACCCTAACCTCGACAACTACCAGCCCGCCACCTGCAGCTGCTGTCTCCGACGCCGCCGACGCCAGTACGACCGTTGTCCACACTACCTCCACCACTGACGCTACCGCCCACGCACACGCAACCACCCTTTCCTCAACCAGCCCGCTGACTGATGTCGTCGAGTTCAGCCCCCAACCCAACTCAGAAGAAAACCCCATGCCAGAAGATTCACCAGATCACCTAACCTCAAACATCGCCAACCCAGCAGCGCCATCGGTCGTCGCCGTCGGTGCCGTCAGCGACATCAGCTGCCCACACGCCAGTCCATTTGTTTTCACGCCCCCTCCTCCCCCCCTCCCCATCAGTGTACCCCCTGAATCACGACCAGCTGACCACTCCAAGAAGAGACTTCACTCCCCACAATCGCCCAACCCTAGTTCATCAAAAGTGTCCAAAGTGCAAAAATCGACTTCTGATTCAGATTCTCCTTTACAATCTAGTGATAGCAAACAACAACAAATCGAAAATTTTTCCCATGATTTAAACGAGGTGTTACGTGCAATTCCCTTCAATGAAGACAAATTGTCCAAAAAACAATTTAAAAATCTTCTGTATTCTCAAACTCTTGAAACCTTCACAAAAACAGTGCTAGAACGTGATGTAGACAAACTTGAACTTCTTACTATACTCAACAAAGCAAAACTTCTGACTAGCAATGATTTTCTGTTAAACAGGATAAACGCAGGTATAGAAACAATATCTTCAATGCCAAATTCTTGAAGGGTAACTTCCCACATCCTGCAATGTCAAAACAATAAATCTCAAACCTTTCCTCTCCACTTAGCCACAAACTTGTAAATTTTTACTCTGATAGACACAAACATGCAGCACTGCATGCCCGCTGCATCGCCAGCTACTTGTAACAAAATTACACCACCATTTTGATCCATTTTGTAACTATAAATCCCCCCCAATAAATCCTTGTTAAAAACTCAAAACTCTCTCTCTCTCTCTCTCTCCCCCTCTCTCTCTCCCTCTCTCTCT